TTTAGGAACTTTGCTATGTCCGGAACTACGACCATTTAAAAATTTTAATTTTTACTATTTTTAAAAAATCGAGGAATTTTCGAAAATGTGGTACAAAACGGTTTTTTCCTTTAGACAGCCGCCATTTTGTAAAAAAATATAGCTAAAACTTTTCCGTAGTTTCGGACATAGCGACATCATTGTAGATTGATAAACTTTTTTATTTTTTGATTTCGAATTGCTTGGAGAGCTAAAATCGTGGGTATGGTCATGCACCATATTTTTGGGATGGCCCACTTCTTCAGCTGATAAGTAACAAAATTTAATTTTTTTATTTTTTTGTATGCTTCTAAGGTGAATAAATAATGTATAAAAATTGATAATAAAAATATAGCTTTCTTTTTTTACAGCACTTCAAAAAATGACCTAAAATTCATGCCTCTAGACCAAAATACCCCCTTAAGTAAATTTATAATTTTTAAACTCAAGGGAAGACATAATCACTTTCATATTTTGCCAGTAGCTAATGGGCAGTCATGTAAAGCAAAAGGTCATATGATTAAAACTCGAAATCTTTCAGAATTATATTGAGAGATAAAAAGCGGTTTCTACCTTCCCTGATTATTGGATTCAAACTTTCTTTGTGCCTTTCCACCGAATGGATTTAGTGATAATTTTGTTCTATCAGTGAGGCAAAGAACTACTTGACCAGTAATAAAAATAATTCTAAAACCACCCCAGCAATAATTATTTCTTCTTACGTAAGACGTTGGTCACCGTTTGGCTTGTGAATAGCTTGTTCTAGTGGTCAATTGCTGAGTTTTTTACTAATTTAATAATTGGATTTAATTCTAAAATACCTTAAATGTCAGGCTTAATTATTCACGAATGACTCACTCCTGAATTTAATTATCGACTAACAATTACTTAATGTCTATTGACCACTTAGAAAGGATCAATTCGCTTTGAATTCTAATTCGATTATCGTTTTTCCATTAGTATCATTAGAATTTTTCCAATTTAATACGTTCCTTTTTTACTATTGTGTTATACCTATTTAGGTAATTTTTCCAGTTTTTCAATTCATAATTAAATTGGCCCTCTGTTCAATTAAATTCTCATTTATAAATGAATTCATTTTGGTAAAATTTGGGATGGCTGAACAAAAACCTATTAGCAGTATTCTTAGAGCATATATTTTCTGAGTTATGCTAATCTTCTCTGTGTCGTTCCAATTTTAGTATATGTACCTCCCCGTGGTGCTTCCTGGACAACGTATACTCATACGGCAATAAGTCTATAAACCGGCAGTTGACTCCGGACTTCAAACTACTGTGACCAGACTGTATGTCATATTCGACCACTTCCACAGTATTCATCTTACCTTTTCTCTGCCTTTGTGTCTGTCTGACTCCTTCGCATCTATTAATCATTATTCTGTCCCTCCTCTCGACTTTTTGTCCCTTTGATATTCCTCCTCCCCTCTTTGAAGTCCGAAGTCAGCTAAATGGCTAATGATAACTATCAAAACGCCTGCCATTTGAAATAAATAAATAAATTTTCTGAGCTCTAAGCACAAAACCCTCCTAACACGTTGATAGATATTCGTTAATTAACCTATGTCGAATTAGTTTACTAGTACATTGTTACCTACATTAGGGCATCGTTTCAAATTTCCCGGACATTCGCTGGGATCAAGAGGACCAAGGCGCAGGATAGTAAATTGGCCCAAAATTACCGCTCTCCAATCCTCTTTATACTCCACTTCAAAGGTGCTTGCTTTGTAAAGTGCATGGGCACCAAGTTGAGACGCTAGTTCGCCACCTAGACGACTTGCCAATAAAAGATCTGGTACGCGTGGATCCATAATATTCAGGCCAAACCACACTCTCTTACTATTCTTCTCAATTAGTGCATTGCCAAGAAAGTCGAAGAATTGGGCGTACTCGCGGGAGGTTATGTGACGATTAATGTAGGTTATCTCCGAGAAGGCAAAGTGAGCCATCTCCCAGAAAACAGGTATTCCTGAGGCGGAGGGACCGGTGCTAGCTAATTCAGCCTCAGCAGGGGTCAACCAGTTACTGGAATCGTCTGTGTCAAGGCGACCTATTAACAAATGGGCCGGATCATGGTATTGCTTGTAACGAGTCTTTGGACGCACTGTGTTAGCGCGCAGATCCACTCCATTAATGAAGAGACGCAATCCATCGGATGTGCTCCACGTGATTCCAAGATTTATCCAAGTATCTGCAAGAAAGGCGAAGCGCGTTTCAAATAACAGCTTATCCGATAAACTGCAGGTAAAGCACAAAACATTCATCAACCCTCCATGTTTTTCACCTCAGCCTGGATTTCATTATTGGCTTTTGGCTTATGAAACAGTATTCTCGCCCTCAGTTCCAATATCTGGAACTGGTAATTAAGCGATTTCAGTGACCATAGGGTGGGGTGTGTGATAGACTTACCTCCACGTGGTGCACCCTGGGCAACGTATACTCATACGGCAAAAAGTCTATTATTCGGCAGTTGACTTCCGACTTCAAAACACCATCACCTCACTGTATGTCATATTCGACTACTTCCACAGTACCCACCTCACCTTTTTCACTCTACCTTTGTGTCCTCTTTTACATCTTTGAAACACTCTAATGTTTCCCCTCCCCTCTCGACTTTTTTTAGTTTGATGTACCTTCCTCTCTGTGAGGCCTGAAGTCAACTA